CGGCCGCCGCCGCTGCGGGAAGCTCGGGCGTCCAGCTGCGGGAAGGGGTTCCGTGAGGAGCTTTGTTAGTTCTGCCTTTGCTAGTAGTGTCATGCAAAAATACGCCGGTAAACGTTAGAGGATTGCTGCTGTTTTCCAGCTGGCCACAATTCGTTTCGGGACTACGAAATCAACCTTAAGAAAATACAGGCGGACAAAATGCAGAGTCTTTTATGATACTTTAGTTTTACGATACTTGATGCAAAATATTTGTTGATGTTTCCACGTTACAGCTTCTAGAAATAAAGTGTTTTCTGTGCAGGATTGCCGCAGCTAATCTCTGCTGATTGCTTCTGCACTTTATTTTCTTAGAAGCATCGCCGCGGTTTTCTTTTTGAAGAGTGAAATAACATCTTCCCTATGACTTGTAGTTGTAGAGTCCACAGCTCTGCAGAGTTGTTCTGCTAAATTGCTGTAACGATGAGATTTTTACTAACAAAAGTATTATGTGTGTGTTTTATACGACAAAAGTATGAGAGTGACCAAGCCTACGAATAAAAGCCGATCTTCAGCTGAACGTGACATTGAAGCTCAAGCTTCAGAGTTGTTTAGATTAACCTAAAATCTACTTAATTTGAAATTGTTATACTAATACAATTTATTGATTTATTTATAGAACTTGAATATTTTTACTTCTTCCTTTGTCTGGTTAGAAATCCACAAACTTAAGCACAAGTACTTCTAATCAAACCTATTAAAAGGAAATGTGTCGAACTTCAGAATGGCAATCAGGGATGATATTGTAATTTTTTTTAATGGCTTCAGGCTTTTGTGGGAAATAGAAGTTTGATCACGAAAAGACAGAATGCTTGGAGCTGTGTAGTCATGTTGAATAAATATTCAAGGGATTTTTGTACATAATCTAAAGGACTTGGTATTTGCAAATTTAAGGCTCCAATGCTGTCCCTGAAACCCCTTGTAAGTTTTTGTTAGTGGAACAGGTAATAGATAAAGATTTTTTGGCCACATTCATTTTTCTCAGAGGAGGCTGTATTTTTGTAAGAACAAATACTTTTCTCTGCTCTTGAGGTCTACTGTAAAACTGAATGAACCACAAAATAAAAAAATACCAAAAGTTTTAAGTATTCAAAAAAGTTAAGCATACTCAGACTAAACCAGTAAATGCTAGTAATTATTCTCATTTTCTGTGTGCGCATATGTTATTCATGCAGACACGCAGATGATGGTAATGGCCGATCACTACCATTGCCTGTCCTTTAACTGTGCAAAGGTCTGAGAAAACTCCAGGAGTTTGATGCATTTTCTTCAAGCTTTGGCAGCTCTGGCTCGCGGGAAATGTTAAGATAATGGTGTCGTGGATGCTTGAGCAAAATTCTTGCTCAAACAAGTTGATTTGCCTTTTCATCTGCCCTCTTCCTTGTGCTAGCAGAAGGAAATGGGGCTGCATCATGACCTGGGTGGGAAAACTGACCTCGGTGGGATTGTTCTGCCCTTTCCCTATGCACTCCACCAAATGTTGAGGAGGATTGATTGGGATAAGCAAGACCAGCAGCGCTAGTTGGTATCGGTTTGAAGTGTTTGTGAAACTACTGCCTAATAACGGTATTTTCTTTCCACAGACAAATAGGTGGTGGTGCCTCGCTGATGGTATCTTTAGGTACCCTTGAGAAGCAATGTAATTTGGCCTCTTATTAAATATCTTCTAATAGTACACATTAGAATAGCCCTTTAAAAAAAATTCATTTTCATTTTCTTAGGGAATTACCAATTTGTAATTTTTTTCTTGAGTTGGAGTCTGACACATACTTCGGGGTTTTTTTTTTGTGGAGGTTTTCTATTTTCTGTCATATTTCCCTTCTCCACTTTCTAATACGACCTTCAAGCTCTGTGACTGGGTATTGACTAGGCTGTGAGTCAGCGAACAAGAGTTAAGGAGGGGTCAATACACAAATGGATTTATCCCAGCAACTGTCTCTGAGTCGTGGGTCTTCCTCTGCTTCTGTTTTTGCTTTTGGGGAGGTTAAAAATTGTACCACGGAAGTGCGGCAGCAGTAAATTACTGTTTGTCCCACACTGATTTTGCTCACTGCTCCAGAACATAGCATTAGAAGTTTAATAGGTGAGTAATTGAAAAGGCGTTGTGGTTTCTTTGTTGCTTTTTAACGTTCTTGATTTTGCTTGGATTGGGCTAAGCTGTGGTTCTAACATACAGCTGTAATCAGTTGTCTTCTTAAGGTTTTCTCTCTAAAACTGTCTGATGGATAATTTTGGGGTGGAATAAAGTATTAATTGCTCCACAAGATGCTCCACTATATTTACTAAAGACTTGATGTGCATGGTGCAAACTTGCAGCAGAAAAGACCTGAAAAATTACCCTCATCATCCCTCAACAAGCATAATTTTCATTACCACAACCACCACATTGTTGCATACCACGATTTCTTAAAGATTACTTCTCAATGATTTTTTTGTATGTGTATGTGTTTCTTATAATGATTTAAGTCATTGATGGACTGACATAACAGGAATAGTAGAAACAATTTAGTGGGTAGTAGCTTATCTGATAGCAAATATGAGCTGACAAGGGTGAGAAATCAGAAGTGTTCTTTTCTGCTGGAGAGTTAAAAATATATCAGCGTTATTAACAGTAAAATGTGGACCAGCAGAATTGTGACACTGTTAACTTCTTTCTTTTAGGAGCAGAAGTTCTTCCACCTCCATCCAACCTGGACTACTCATTTATCCAAATCTGCACCCTGAACTGGACATGGAACCCCCCAGAGAACATCAGCAGTAGCTGTGACCTGGAGTATTCCAGCGACATCGTGATTGATAATGTCCCCCAGGACAAAAGAGTAAGTGTGTGGCCTCTTAACTCTGCTGTGCTCCAGTAATTGTCTTATTGTGATAAAACTGTGTGTGTGTAAGCATATATACGTATAAAAATATATACAAATACAGTTTTAATATAGCCTTTAATTCTTGTCATGGGTTCAAAACCTCAAAAATGAATCATACCAGCATGTAGGATCTTTGGATCAGAAAAATTTGTCTGTTGCTCTCACATAATTGAGCTGCCAACAACAACACAAAAGTACCATAATAAAAATAGTGTGAAAAGACTTGTCTCAATCTTTGCTTATAAAGCTTTCTAGGACAAAAAAAAAAATGTATATAGAGTAGTCTACATCTACTAAGGCTGATCTCCTTCACTTTGAACTCAATTTAAGAAAGAGGCATGCCCATTAACCTTGGTAGCTGTGATTTGACATCATAGCACCTCTTGGAGGTAGTGTCAAGGACTAACATAATATATTTGCCCTGTCCCTATGCTTACAGTAATTCATGGAACACGTTTGTTCCCTGAAACAGGGATTATAAAACTTCCTTGTTTTGAGTGTTTCTTTTCATATCTGTGTTATATGGTTTGCAGCTCAGATGTGATCCTCAGTGTGGGTCAGCAGCTGTTTGGTCAGGACTGAAAGCAGCCTTGCCATAGTTCTGAAGGGGCTGTAGGACAAGCATTTTTATGATTTATTGTCAGTAAGGTAATGTAATTACACACTGTGAGAATTTGAAGCCTTGAATACACATTCACAATGGGGTTAGCAGCACTGTTATTTCAAATATGGTTCAAATCAATACCATGCCTCTTGAAACACCCCTTTATTGTTGAGCCTCACTACAGTTTTATGTGATATTTACAATGTCTTCTTCATGGTCGCTGCCATGTTCTTTCTGGTAGCTCCAGGATATCCTGGACTTGAAGTAAGCCTGTGGTTTCTCAAACAGACGAGATGATTTGAATGACTTAACACTGCTAAAAAGGGCGATACTTCATTTTTGGAGCCCACTTCCTAGTGATCTTCATCGGACCTTTAGATGAGCCAGTTGAACTTGCTAACTGAGAAATCTATTTACCTCTTCTGAAGGATTCGTTAACAAATTAACAAGATGAAAGTCTGCTTGGTTAATGCACTGAATGGGTTTGTGGAAGGGTCTAACAGATGTTAAGGTCAACAGTACAGAAAGAGCTGCGGATCATCGTTTTCATGTGACACAATGAACCAGACTCTATCATCTTGCTGCATCTTTTTGCATTACAGCTGCTAGAACCTAGTCTGTTCATTCCTGTTTGATTTGCTTACCTTCTCATTAGTGCCAATGTTTTGTGGTTTTGTTGTTTGTTTTTTATTATACACAAGTGGTTACACCATTCTTTGGTCATAACAAAGATTTGGGTTTTTTTATATTATTTCCAGATAAGTAAAAGGCATCCCCCTAGCCTGATAAAAGCTGCTCAAGAGTATGGTGAAAGGATAAGCCTTTTTCTCAGAAAGATGAAGCTTATGTCTATAAGCTCCTGTTTACATAGCTGTAGTATAAACACACTTATTTTGCATTAGCATTGAAGACTTACTCTAGGATCACTGTCCTTGTTATCACTGTTCCTTGATCTCTGTGTGGCCTTTGCTCGTGTCTGCAGGTCACTGCAGTAGAAGTACTTTTCCTTTCAGTTCTGAGTGCAGCTGATGAGGAAAAAGAAAAGCTGAGTAATGCTGAGGCTTCCCACGTTGACAGACCCTCCTTTCATTTGGCTTTGAGTTGCAGTCTTTCTGAGGGGCTGTAATGTATTCTTACATTAATAGTAATTCCCATGTGCCAAATGCTCTGGTTTTCTTTCCCCCCATCTAAACTCAGGAATGGAGTAAGAGCCACTTCCGCGTGACCGATACCTTCTTGACCAAGGAAATGCGTTTCAGAGTGAGAAGTGAATGCAAGTACGGTAACGCCAGCAAGCCCAGCCGATGGGTGGAGACCTCTCTTCTGCCAAAAGGTGACACGTGTAGCGGCCAAAGCCGAGACACACCGGCCTCTCTTGGCCTGAGGAGACCCAGCCTTGTTTTCTCTGCTCTTTTAACAAAATGTCACAGAAATACATCGTAGACAAGCAGGGAGATACTGGATGCAAGAGCTAGCTCAGTAGACAGAGTTTAAACAGAACCATTATACTACATTTAAACACAACTGGAGTCTTCCGGTGCTTAAAGACTCAAGGGCAGGCTTGTAAAATTTAAATGCTTCTCCAAGACAACGATGCGATTCCTGTCATTCCTCTTGTCCCTTTTGTGCTGTGGTTGTTGGATAAGAGATAACTTAAGTTGTATCAAGCCTGCTGACTTCATGCCTAACAGCTAAGTCCGTTTATTTTGTACAATTTTTCTGTACAAGTAGAGGTCCCTAAAGGAACCCTACATTTGTAAATGTTAGAGGTATAAATCTAGCAAATTTAACCACTTGTTGAATAAATTTGTGACTGAATTAAATAATGATGGTAGGGTTCTTTCTTTTTCAAAAGAGATGACTGGGATCTACAAAGCTGCACATAGCAAAATGAATACTGACAAAAAATAGCAAAATTGCTAGAAGCAGATTTTAAGGAATTAACGTGTTCTGCTAGAACCTAAGAGGTGCAGCAAGGAAATAGAGCCACTTGCCTCAAGTGGTAAAAGTCTGTCTAACTCCAGAGCAGGACTTGATGTGGATGAAAACCATATGTGGATGGGAGAATCGGGGACCTTATCAGACTTGTCTGTGTGTCTGCCAAAAAAAGTTAGTTTGGAAAATCAGGAAGTAGATAATTAGGACAGCATGTACTAAGCAGATTGGGACTTTTAAATGTCTGATTGCAGATAAAATAGTTTTAAATACTTCTTGGAACAGGAAAACCAGTTTCATTTTCCTATACTCTTAGACAGTTGCAACTTCAGGGAGAATGCAAGCTCAGAAGTAGAAGGTAGTTTGGGGTTTGCTATTAGTGAAGGTCTAGTATACTGTAATATTACTATTAGACAGCATCAAGAGCTTGTGCCTTACAAAAAGGCAAGATTGAATATGGAAGACTTTACTCCATAATTGCTCTGCCTGAGAGATACGTTGACATTTCTCTTCACAATTGCTGTATACTCATTTGTATTTATGTTCTGTAATTCGGGTTTTCAATATGTTGAAGTTGAATGTCTAAATGTATATGGGTCTCAATTAAAAATTCAGCTTACTTAGTGTTGTTTTCGACCATCTGTAAAACCTATGGGTATTTCCATATTCAGAATACTAATAAACTAATATTGTATTTGGAGAAGATAACTATAACTAAATGCTGACTATTTTTAACATTGTTATAATATCTGATGTAATAACTATAACAAAGCTAAGTGCTATCCTTATAATTGCCAATTACTTAACTCCTTTTAAAAGTATGTGTAGTTTAATAGAACAAAATATTTTCCTGACTCAACACCTTGTCCTTAGCATCAAGTAACTCTAAGTAGTGATTCAGGCATGGTGGAAACTGAGATTCCCTATTATGATTAGTTTGCATTTAGAAGTTACTCTGCTGAGATTTCAGCTGTTGCAAGCAATAAACAACTGGAATTCATCATTTGCAGTGCAGGCTGACAGGTAACCCATCTGTTCCTTCCAGAAAATTTCAGTTATGTAAAAAGGGATGTTTTGCTTCTGGAAAGTGAGGAGAAGACTTTTCTGGCAAAATAATCCTTAAGAGACCTTTCCAACTTGCCTTGCAGGTATTCCAGGTACTGCTGCTGTTGACTTGAGCTGTGTTTGGCACAATCTGGAGTACATGGCTTGTACATGGCATCCTGGGGAGAACGCAAGCAGCGATACCAATTACACATTGTTCTACTGGTTTGTAAGAACTTTTTATTCCCAACTCTAAAGTGCTGTAGCACTAATCTTTAGTTTTACATTACACATTTTACTTGTCAGTTTCCTGTTGCTTTGAAAGGTCCCAGGTCCTTGCGTACAAGTTAGTGTTGGGTCCTGTCCAACAGAAAACTTCACTGCTGAAGAGCCAGGAGGTTGCTGTTGCTGAGTATTTTTGGGAAGTTAATATAACTATTACATGAAGCCCTGTCTGCTTCTGTAGCCCATTGTAAAATAACTGCTATTGCTTTCTTAGTTTTTCTAATTGTGGATTCAAAGAGGGAAGAATTAAGAACTGAGTTAGATCGATACATTGTTTTCTTTGTAGCCGCACATAGGTCCTTTAAGTCAGAATCACTCATTAATGTATGTGTCACCTCTTAAATTATTGCAAAATGGTATGAAAGCATTAGTAACACTTAGCAGCAATTTGTTTATCTTCAATATCATAAATGACTGATTCAACTTCAAAGTTAGAGAAAACATCTCTTTATAATCCCCACTTGCCAACTGACTGCCATAAATAGACTCTTGTTCCAAAGGAAGAGAATTGTGATGTGAGCAAAAACTTGGCATCAAGATCTGCACATGCTAATCTGTGCCTACTTCCGCGTGGTGATGTAGCTTGTGAAATGCCAGATTGCACCAGCTTGTGTAGAAATATTCAGGTTTTCTTTATGAAAGCCCCTTGTTGTAGGTTTTAAATCAGCTCCCTGTCTCACCTGAGCTAACTAAATAAACTTTTTCCTCTTCCTCTTCAGCAGCAGTCTCACAGACTGGCTGTTCGATTGAATGCATCTGAACAGCAAAGCATGCTGCTTTACTTGGATGCAGGGAGGACTGTTCTCTCTCTCTGAACTGCTACTCAATTTTTTTTTATTATTACGAGAACAATACTCATGAGGTGTTGAAGATCTGAGTTTCTGAGTATATGGATACTTACTGGAATAATACTTCGGAATAGAGCTATATATTTTCAATTTACCCCTTAATTTTAATGAAAGATGTAGTTGCAAGTCCAGAGAGGAGCAAAGCTGGTCACGTGTCTAGAGAACAAGTGTTATAAGGAGTTGCTGAGGGAACTGGGCCTGTTTAGTCTGGAGAAGAGGAGGCTGAGAGGAGACCTCATTGCTCACTACAACTACCTGAAAGGAGGATGTAGTGAGGTGGGTGTTGGTCTCTCCTTCTGAGTTACTAATGATAGGACAGGAGGAAATGGGCTCAAGTTGTACCAGGGGAGGTTTAGATTAGATATAAGGAAAACTTGCTTTACTGGAAGAGTGGCGAGGCATTGGAACAGGCTGCCCAGGGAAGTGGTGATGTTGCCATCCCTGGAGGTGTTAAAAAATCGTGGCACTTCAGGATATAGTTTAGTGGTCATAGTAACATTGAGTTGCTGGTTGGACTAGATGATCTTTTCCAACCTTAATGATTCTGTGGAGCAACAGTAAAGTGTTTTGATTCATGCTGCTTCGAAATAAAAAGACTTTTAAAATTATTTATTTAAAAGCTGAAAACTAAGGAAACACTTGATTTTTGGACTGAAAGATACATTTTCCCATAATGCAAGTGAGGTATGTTTGAGGTTTTGGTTTTTGTTTGTTTGTTAGTTTTCTTTTTCCTCGGAAATTAGTGAACTATGACCTGAAAAAATTACTGCTTAGTTCCATTCTCTATTCTTAGTTGGTGATATTTTCCTCTAAACCCCCATCTTCACATCCAGAGTGATTGTGAATATGACCCAATTTAGAACAAGCGAATCCAGTCAGTGCGCAGTAACACTTGCTGAAGCGGAGGCTTAGGAGGGCAGGGTGCTGCATCGACAACTCGCAGCTCCTCCTGTCAGCAGCCCGAGGGCAGGGAGGTGAGAAGGGGGGTCTGTGCTAAAAACAGGACCTAGTTTTGGCTTCCCCAGCCCCTGTATATTGAGATGTGGAATCAGGGAGCATCACCCCTATTGTGCTCATAAATGAAGCTCTGATTTACTCTAGATCACTTTTAAATAAATAAATTATCAGTTTTCTTCAGAGGAAAAGCTTCTGGCAGAGAAGCAAGGAAGAAGGTTGTCGTAGCTTCTTTGTTACTGGAAGCAAGTACTGACATTCTGAAAAGCAGATGCAGACAATAGGTGAAACTTGACCATCTCAAGCAAGAATTGCAATACCTGAGGTGTAGCTAAAGGAGACTGATCAGCTCATTTTATCACAGAAATTCTATTGATGGGAAGTGATCCAAATTAGTTAGGTTTATAATTTTTTTTCCCCTTGAAATTGTTTTCCTATGTGGAAAATGTGAACCAAAGCTGAAAGCAGCTGTTATTTTGATGTTTCAGTATAAAGGAAACTTGACTCTATTTTTGCTACTTGGCACTTTTTACAAAAATAATGTTCGTTCTAAAACTTGTGATAAATTACAAGCTTCTTACTTTGCTTAGCTTTACTTTCATATAGGCTACAGCACAGGCTTAATGCAGGATCAGTCTTTAAAATTTGTAACACAGGTTTAGAAGCAAGCTTGCCCCTTGCTGTCCCATTCTTTTGAAGATTGAAAAAGTATTTTTACTCCTATAGGTTTGATGGTTTGAAAAGCCATAAGAAGTGCAGCAACTATTCTATGCACCAAGGAATCTCTGGATGCATTTTCAATCTGAGCTTCCCAAAAGTCACCAGCACTTACCCACCTATAAGTATTTTGATTAGAGATGATTCTGAAGAAATTAGGCCTGTGTGTGCAAATAAAAATCCTACCACCCTTGGTAAGTTTAACATCATATTATTATAAGATAGTATATTGTTTTGTTTGAGAAGCTTGCACCTCATAAGCTGTGGTTGAGACAAGATGATTAGATGCTCCTTTCTTTTTCTGATCTTTGATTTGGGAATTATATAGACATGGTTTGGTTTTGGGGGAGTAGGTGTTTAGGGTGTGGGGGAGGGTTATTTTCCACTTATTTTTACTCTTATTATTTGTTTTTATTCTTTCTTGACTTCTCAGTGCTTTTTCTTCATTCTGTTCCTAGGCTATTATAAGTGTAATACCAAGCAATATAGGACTTGAACAGTTTTTAGCAAGCACAGAAATATACTTTTTGACTAATTCTTCTGTTTCTCATTTCAGTAAAACCTGCTACACCAAGACAAGTCACACTGTCGAAGATCGATGATGGAATACGTATGGAATGGACTGAATCGGACACTTTTCCAGAAAATTGTTTAGTATATGAAGTTGAATACCACAATGGCTATTTGGACACCGCACACGTAATTAAAGTAATTTTTCAGTTTACTCAGTTAACTGATTTTTTTTCCCCTGTTTATCTTTTGCAACTTGTGTTGATATTCACAGTAACTCAAATATTTGCTGTTTAAAGATGCTTCATGTGAATGGTTCTGGTGCACTAGCTGGACGTTGCATGGACATAAGGTTTTTCTCCTGTGTAGTAGGTTTCTGGTAATAATATCTGTACAGTGCAGTTCATGTTAGTTTTGAATCCTTGCCATTATTTGCTATGGCAAAGCAGTAATGTGTAAGAACAGTCAGATAAAGAAGTATACACTAAACTAAACAACACTTATCAGGAAATACACTGTGGTGCATGTACCCGTTTACTTCTCCATGATGGGACTTTGGTCTATTGGTGTTGTGTTTTCCTGTTGTTGCTCTGTGCTTGGTCAGGTGTCTGCTGCCTTCTTGAATGATGTGAGTTAATTACCATAAAAGCAAAATTAATTGCTGGTGCTGCACAGAAGAAGAGAATGTTAACATGTATAACAGAATGTTATACAGAAAAGCAAAAGGACAAAAAGACTAGGGGGGTGAAGAAAAAGGTGTGCAGTCTTAAATACACTGATTTACATGTGTAGATAAAAAACATTGGCTTCAGTGTCTGGGTGTGCTCATGCCTGTATTTACACACCCAGACTGACTGTACTGTTCAATCAGAACAGTAAACAACATGATAAATTTAAAAGGAAGGTGGCAGTCATCTTCTATGGAGCGTATTAAGTTGTTTGTCCTACCCAAAATTTAGCAAACTCAAGTAATATCAGCATTCCTCAGGAAATTGGCATTTTGGATCAAAAATAAGTAAAGTTTGATCCCACCTAGTGTGTGTGCTTCTCTGTAGAGGCATCACGGAAGACTTTGATATGGTCAAAGTTGGACAGAGCAGGGAAGGCAGCATAAATCACATATGTTTTTAAAAAAAAGAAGGGCACTATTCCAGACACTGAGTCTTAGTTTAAACATTGATGCCAAATGCTGCATGATAGATGTAGCAGTGAATGAAATTAAATCACACAATCACAGAATGGTTTGAGTTGGAAGGGATCTTAATAATCATCTAGCTCCAGCCCTGCTTTCCACTAGACCAGGTTTCTCAAAGCCCCATCCAGCCTAGCCTTGAATGCTTCCAGGGAAGGGGCATCCACAACTCCTCTGGGCATCTGTTCCAGTGTCTCACCAGCCTCATAGTAAAGAAAATTTACCCTGCTTTAGTTTAAAACCATTCCCCCTTGTCCTATTGCTACTTGCACTTTTAAGCACTCCCTCACTAGCATTCTTTTAGGCCCCCTTCACATACTGGATGGCTGCTATAAGGTCACCCCAGAGCCTGTCTTCATAGGAGAGAGGTTCTCCAGCCCCCTGATGATCTTTGTGGCTTCCTCTGGACCTGCTCCAACAGGCCTGTGTCCTTCTTGTGTTGGGGGCTCCAGAGCTGGATGCAGTACTCCAGGTGGGGTCTCACAGAGCAGGGGAGAGGGGCAGAATCACATCTCTCAGTCTTTTGGCCAGACTTTGGATGCAGTCCAGGACATGGTTGGCATTTTGGGCTGCAACAACACATTGCTGGCTCCTGTTGAGTGTCTCATCAACCAACACCCCAAGTCCTTCCAAGTAGGGCTGCCCTCAATCCACTCATCACCCAGCCTGTATTTGTGGTTGAGATTGCCCTGATCCAGGTGCAGGACCTTCCCTTTGGCCTTGTTGAACTTCATGAGGTTGGCACGGTCTCAACTTTTCAAGCCTGTCAAGGTCTCTCTGGGTGGCATCCCTTCCCTCCAGTGTGTTGACCTCACCACACAGCTTGGTGTCGTTGGCACGCTTGCTGAGGATGCACTCAATCCCACTGTCCGTGTCACCAACAGAGATGTTAAACAACACCAGTCCCAGTACCAACCCTTGAGGAATGCCACCTGTCCTGGGTCTCCATTTGGACATCAAGCCATTGATCACAGCTCTTTGGAAACTCTATTTAGCCAGTCTGTGTTTTTTTTATGAAGTTGAATATTCACAAAAATATCTTCCATCAAAACATTCAGAATACGTTAACTGCACGATGAAAATAGGCTTGTAAATGATTGAGAAGACGTTGGTAATTGAACAAAGAAAATGAACCTTTTCTTTTTACCTCAGGTTGAAAATAATAATCTGTCAATACCTGGCATTGATTCCAACAGCAAGTACGTCTTCAAAGTGCGAGCAAAACCGAAGCCTGAATGTTACAGCAGTGAGCTCTATAGTGACTGGAGTGAAGAAAAGAGTATTGGTGAGAGCAACTGTTCCTGCAATTTGCTGCGCTTTCTTCTTCATTTGCAAAGCATCTAATACCTTTTGCCTGCTAAATAAATGAGAGATGAAGATCATCTTCCTGTGGACCTATTCAATTTTAGGTGAAAAGAGGTCAAGAGAGTTCTAGTTCTTCAGCAGTGCCACCAATTTTTGCCTGTACCCCTATATATGTTGATGGAGTTGCTGTCCATGTGGCTGTGCAATGACCCCTTTCCAGTGGTCTCTTGTTTGCAGCCCTGAGTCTTGCTCGTTTGCATTTTCTTGCCAAATGTATCTACCTTACAGTGTCATGCGTTGAAAAATGAGTCTTTGCCTACGGAAGTGCTCGTGTGTTTATGAACAGATCAGAGAATTAATTAGTTTGTTGTCTCTATTTCTGAAAAGCTTCTGAAAACATCCCTAAATTTCTACAATTTTTGTTTTCCAGGTGAAAAGACAGACTCCACATTCTATTTTGTTTTAATAATCACCATTCCATTAATAGTAGCAGTAGCTACAATAATTCTACTAGTTTATCTAAAAAGGTAAATAACAATCTCCCTGTATTTACAATCCACCAATTCCAAATGACGTTTAACTTGCATTACAATTCATCTCTTTTGCAGGTAACTGTCTATGATGGAGCATGTTTCAGTAGTATCTGTTTTATGCATAACATGTATTGTACAACAAAAACAGCCCCCTTGTGCCTCAGTCGTTAGAATTAGGTTTATAAACCATAATGCTTGTGAACATTGCTGATATCTGCTCACAGTTAGATTCTTGTTGCACACCTATCGCATCCCATCTCTTTAGGTAATGAAGTCTAGATTCAAAATTAAGCTTATATATAAAGCGTATTTTACCAGGTTGTTTTAAAAAGTCTACATTTGTGCTGTCTTTGTCCTCAGTGAAAGTTATTTAGAATCTGTCTGTATGGTTATTCCTGTTTCCTTTTGGTTTGGGGAGTAAAGATAGGCATTGGGTACAGTTAAAAAGAGAATGAAGGCTGCCCAGTGATGCCAAAAGTCCACAAATTTTCTTGACTGCACCTAAGTATGACTTTGAAATGGTAGTTTTTATAATAATGTATCTTTAATCTAAATTTTTTATTTTCAATTATCTGAAGGCTGAAGATAATAATTCTTCCACCAGTTCCAGACCCTAGAGAAATGCTTAAGCGCATGTTTGGAGAGCAGAATGAGGATTCCCAGGTTAGTAAGAAGCTGTTGGGCCAATTAATATATTGAACCAGAATCTGTAGGTTTCCAGGTTTTTTTCCTCATACCTATGTCTATCTTAGAACCAACTGTATGTAAGTAAGTATATCATATGAAGATTAAGTATTTACAATAGTAAGAGTTGTTCAGAAATAATTACTCAATGCTGTGAGGGACTATTTTCCCTCAAATTGCTTTTCTAGATACGTTAATGGAATTGCATTATTCTATTATTTCACATACTGCTAGCCCCTTAAATGTGTTTTGAGTTGGTTTGGGGGTTAGGTTTTTTGGGTTGGGATTTTCTAGTTGTTGGGAGGTTTTTGGTGGGTTGAGGGTTTTTTGGAGGCTTGATTGGGGGTTTTTTTTGTTTTTTTTTTGTTTTATTTTTTTCTTTGCAGCTTTCTTAAACTACTCGTCCTGAACATTCAGGTCTTTCTTTTCTAGTTGCTCATATTTATGATGCTGAATAAAAAGCTATTTATATTTGACTTTCAGAAACTTACCTTCTTAGCACTTTCATAATTAACACAGTCAGGTATGAAAGATATATAATTTCTCTCTGGCAAAATAATAAAACTATCCCTATTTCAAGCTTTAGTTGATGAAAGACATGCTATGGGCCCTTATTTCAGGAAAAGCAAACATAATACTGATTGTGGAAATTCTTATTTCTGAACAAATCTAACTCAGTAGCTCTTTATAAAAATTCTAAAGGAAGTACACAGACAAGTCCTAATTCAACCTTGGACATGAGGCAATGCGTAGTGTTCTCTGAACACAGTCCCTGCATGGAAGGGACCTTCTGACTCAGTGTGGCATCTCAAAGTTCATGCCACTTGTGAAACATTTGTAGAGGATAACGACTATCTGGGTGTCTGGTGCTGCATGTGCTGATGTTCTCAGTTAAACAGGAATTGCAGGAATCTCTGGCTTTCCGAAAATAAGTGCCCTTTTGTGGCCTCCCAATTGCAAATGGAGTTAAATTCCAAAATCCAGTATTCCTTTTTTTCTACAGGGGTGTTCTGAGTTCACCTAATAATGAATCAAAACTATGTGGAAAGCATGGATCTGTCCTCCTACTTTTCTACCTTTTGGATAAATATTTCACCACGTATTGGTCATTACGGGACTAAGATGGAACTCTTGGCCATGAGGATCAGATGTGTGTTACACTTTGTCATGCCTTGAAAAGTGTTTTAGTACTGTCCCAAGTCTATTGTCTTATTACCTTCTATTGCCTTATTACCTTCTCTGTGTGCTCAGAGGTCTCAGGAAGGCTCTGCCAAGCATGTACACACTCACTTCTCCATCCTCTTGCCTGAGCTTCACCCATTAGCACTCTTAAGGTGGGGTCCAACCTTCAGTTCTTCCTTGTCTCCAGAGAGGACAACTCTTCTGTCAGTCAGGCTACCTTGGCTTTTTCACCACGATACAGGCTGTATGTGGAGTGAATCTGTCTTATTGAGCTGAAAAAAACAACGCTCATCATGAGGAAGCGCTGTTAAAAATGGTTTTCTTCTCTTTCAGGGCTCTGCAAAGGATGAGTCTATGAATGCTTATGACAGGTTATTTAAGGAAGAAGAAATTCATTCCTTAATTTTAACAGAAACTCCAGAGTACTCCAGTTCTGCAAAAGAAAACTGATAAACTGCTTTATCAGTAAAAGATGAGAAAACTTGGATTCCTGCTTCTGTACCTCAGGTGACAATGCAGATGTGAAGAGACCTGCAAGACATTCACCAACTTTCACCTTACCGAGTCTTCTCTGAGACTTACACTCAGATGCTCAGAAGATACATCACTAACAGTGGTGATTCCTCCATCTCTGCTGGAAATACTCATCTCGCTTCATACAAGATGAGCATGTACATAAATTTCATGTGACTGCACTGCAGCATCTCTTGTTCTGGCTCCAGCCAGCTCTGTCATTTGCACTTGCATTTCTGCCTCATGCTAGACTGTAAGTAAGTGTTTTCTAGAGCAAGCACTGTGACTTCTGAAGTATTTGCTCTGTTTTGGGCAGGTGAGATGAGGCTCGTTTACAGTAGATGGCTCATTAGTGCTACTATGTGGAAGTGCTGCCAGGTAGGATGCCAGAGCATGGACTGTTTGTGGGTGGCCTCTTTCGTGTGCTCCAGAGCAGGATGCTTTCCAGAGGCCATTTATGGACTGACCTTTTTATGCTTCTTGTTGATGTACGTCAGCAGTGGCCTGGTCAAACCCCATAAAAGGATGTTGTTTTTTTCTTTAAAAATGTGTATGAAAAGCCTCTCTGCTTTCTGGCTGGTATTCAGATTATTCATAGAAAATTCTTAGTTTTTTATCTTTTCAAGTGCCTGTCCTCAGATGCCTTGCCTTCCTGGACATCTTGCATTAATTTCACTTTGTTTAACGTGACAGATACAATTTTTTACTTGTGTTGTGCAGTGGCAGATACTCAACTGTATTGAGTCTCACCAGACTCTGATACCACTTTGGCCATATTGGCCTGGAAAAAACTGATTTTTGGAAGCTAGGTCATTCTGAGTCTGTCCAGCAGAATCACCAGGATGGATGCATGAGTCTAAGGAGCTCTGGTCAAATTGATTAGCAAGTGCTAAACCACTGAAACCAATTTAATTCAAAGATTTCAAGACCCATCCTTACTGCTGAGCTGATGGATTTGGGGGAAAGAGGATGACAACCTTGGCCTGCTTTCTAACGGATAAATGTTATTCTTTTTATAATGATGAGGATGTGATTATTAGCTTCCCCTCTAGGAGCTTAGCAATTTACAACAAGGTGCTCATTTGACTTTAAAAAAAAATCTTCTATATTTTACTGCAGAAGCTTGGTGATTTATTTTTATTTTCAATTATTTTTCTTTAAATCATGAATCAATTTGTTAGTTTTTAATGGTTTTGTTTTGAGGTAGCTTTGCCCAGCAAAGATCAACAGGCATTTTCTGGCACAACTGTGATATTGCTCTGCCCTGAATTCTGAGCATTAATTTCTCCCCTGTGCTGCAAGGGGAGTGCAGTGCCTTGGTTGTGCTGGAGGCAGAAAGTAATGTAATAGGGAGAAAGGGATCCAGCCAAGCTGCTTATGGTTAGTATTCAGTAATTTCTTGCTTCTCACAGTGAAGTGCAGACACATTAGTCATTGATACAGTCCATTTTAGCAGATTGGGAAGAGACCTCCTCAGAAGTTTGCTAGGAACAAACTGTATAGCCACTAACCTTGTCAAGTTCAGCCATGTCCTCGAACTCTGTTCAATCGAAAACCTGAAATAAAATGCTACATTTTTAGAACTTACCATTTTATGAGAAGCAGAACTAATGGAGCTTGCTTTTTAGCTACAAGTTTGCCTCCTTCACCCTCTTATGTACTCCCTCCCTCTCAATAAATCCAATTCCCCAGTCCTTGCCGAGCCTCTCAGTATACAGTTTCCTCAGCATCTCATACCTACCTCTCATTACTGGTGGTAGAAAAGGGAGGAGAAATGTAGCAGAACGAGCAGACCCTGTATTAGCTTAAATCTTTTTTACTTACAATCACACACCAAAAAAAGACATTATAATAATTGGTTAATGAGACAAAATGAGAATAAAGCCTCAGGGATTTCAGTAAGATAAAACCAAACTCAGGTTATACAAAGCCAACTAGCAGCACTATCTTATATTTCAGAGGTAAAGGAATAGCGTGGGGAAAAGGGTAATTAAATTCCTGTGCCAACTTCATTCCCTCTCCCCCGCAACATTTATGTCATTATAGGTTATAAATACTTCTCAAATCTACCTCATCTAGGATGTTACTCATCATAGACCACTAGAAATGTATGACTTCAAGGTAAGGAAGCATAGCAGTGTAATATAAATTTTTGCAGCTTTCAGTATAGCAATAGGAAGATGATCCCTGGTACTTTACCCTAAATTCATTTGATGTTTATTTTGGTGTTTATGGTAAAAACAAAGTTTATTTGTTTGAAAAACAAAAAACCCAACAAATTCATAAAGCCAAAGGAGTGGAAAAAACAGAAGGTATTAGGCCAGAAGAAAGACTTATATGCAGAGGATAGTTTAGATCACTATACAGAAGCATTTTGGGTACTTCCTTGTGTCCCAAATGATAGTAATTGACACACTTCCTAACGGATGGATTTCTTGAGCCTGTATTTTGGCATGCAAAGTAAGTGAGCATGTTTTCCTCTTCAGTGTGTCTTGTTAATGGTTAGGGTTTTTTTTATCTTGAAATTTTCCACGGTTTGCTATCATTTGTTTGTTCATGCAGTTACTTGATCTGTAAATTTGTTTAAAGAATAAATAAATATGTCTGATTTTTTTTTCAATATAATTGCATGGCATTTCGTTCTTGGGTTGAGAATATAAACTGCAACAGAAGAAATGGCAGTGGTTGAATGAGAAACCACATTTGGGCGTGCAGAACCCAGAGAAGAAAACGTGAGTGTTGCTTTGCCCTCTTCCCTTTCAAAAGCGAGTTCAGCCCACGCGATCAGTGGGCAGTGCTACAGCTGCCAGGTTTTTGGCTGAGGTAATGAAAGGGAGATGGAGCTGTGCACAAGACTTGTGTTCTCACCCTCTGTGTCCTCAATGCCACGCTACCTTCGGTTGGAATGTTTTTTTCATAACATTGTAGAGAGTTAATAAACTCTCAAAACAGAACTCGACTGGGGCTGCTGCAGCCTTATCAAACGTAGCTCCAGTATGTTATGTCTTCGTTAGCTGCCGAAGTCATTAAAAATGCCAGGTTGCTAAACTAATGAAAGTCATTACCTAGTTGCTTAGACACAAATGTGTCCAGATGTCAAATAAACACTCTTTGAAATGTTCAGAAAAAGTATACTTTGTTCCCTTCATGTCAGTGAGCAGATCAGTGAAAATTAAGGAATAAAGGTGAAGTTAAAAAACAAGTCTATCTGGATACTTCTTTTCCAGTTCTACAGTTTTGTGACAATAATATTTTTAATCACTCCCTGTAAGTGACCTTTTCCTATTTTAATATAGTATGCTAAATGATTTAAATTTTCTGTATTCGGCATGCTAGAAAAGTTAAACACTTTTTCTGTGATTTTTAATTTATTTCAATTAATGAATGCCATGACATAGCTGGATAGCTTTAAAGGAGTCAGTAGATAAACACACCAAATTTTAAGCAGTGCTGTTTCAATGCTCACTAGGCAGAACTGTTCACAGATTGGGTATTTCCATTCACTGGAAAGTATTCAGTAAACTTAGTTCTGAACTGGGACTTCAAATATGCAGAATTTCCCCTGGAAGGGAAATGATGATTTATTTTTTTCATTTAAAACAGAAGATGACACTCTCACTTTTGGAGGGTTTTCCCCTCACCCAACCAAGAGCCGGGGGTGGTAGGTGAGTGGATGCCCAGGTATGGTCATGGTGCTGTAGAAACCTCTCCTGCTTCTTCTCGCCCAAGCACTAGCTGGGCAGTGGCTGAGAGCTTCGGCTCCAGGAATGGGCACGATGGGGGCTGGGAAGAACATATCTGCCAGGGTTATTGAAGGTTCATTAAGATGATTCCGAAATACTTTGGCTTTTACTTTGTATTTGCAGAAATGGTTTATGGGAGCAAGCCCTGTGGGTTGCACTGCCAGCTGTAGAAATGTGGCTTCTAGATAACACTTAAAATCCAAATGCAAAACCAGATTAAAATCTCTCTATTTGGATGAGGTTCCTGCTAGCTATGTTCCTGCTATCATGGTGAAAGTAGGAGTCTTGAGATCAGTTTGATGTAAGTAAATCCACACTATAACCACAGCAAAGCAATATGGGTTTGGGTGGGAGGCGCAGGAGAGAGGCAAACTTTCTTTTAGGTCCGGAAACTCTGCCTCAGGTTTGTAGCACGTAAGAGCCTGAAAGATTGTGGATGACTTTAGGGTGGCTGTTTTTTTGTGCTCTCTCTCATCTCCAACTAAGCTGATAAGGTTAATGAAATCCTTTCTCTTTGCTTGTAAACCTTGTGGTGCTCATCACTGAAGTATCCCTTCTACAGCTCTACTCTGATTATTGCCAAGTAGTCTTCTGAAGGCAATAACTCAGCGAGGAAAAATAATCATTGTCGTCACCAGAGAGTTGTAAAATAGCCAGTGTATTCTAGTAAAACTCTGCCTGATTTGCTTTTGCAAAAGTGCTGCAATTATTTTGATGACTCTCGTACAAAGCATCTACAAAGAGATGCTTTCCAGTTAACCAGTAATCATACTCTTAGCTTATTACATTAAAGTCTTCCTCTATTTAATTTGGCTCAAACTGCTAAAATGGACTTGGCTAAGCACATGATGAGATTGAAAGCTTAGTGAAAAAGAGGTTTTGCTACACTCAGGCACTGTCATGTTTTGAAGCTTGGACAAAATTTGCTGAGCTAGATCAAAAGTTAGGAGCAGCTTGAACCAGGATTCTTGCTTGAGAAGTAGAGCTGGCCCTACATCCTCCATGCTAAAACAACCAAACTAACCAAAAAAAATCATCACACCCCCCCCCAAAACACCAAAAAAACAAAACAACAACAAAAAAAACCCAACTAATTGAATATGTTCTTCATGCTAGGAACAAATTGGTGTGTGCAATGGGCATCCTTACCTATTGATCTAATGAAAGACCAGTTAGATCTCATGGTATCAGCAA